TATGATACCAATTGGCCTTTAATGCCACATTCAGAGACGCCACATTACACACTTTCGGGGGTGGAGGGGGAGGGACATGTGCCCCCCACCCCGCAGTGCTGACTTGAGCCTCTTCCCACCAAGTTTCCCCTGAGTCGGTCAATGCATATGAGCGAAGGGGAAATACTGGACCGAATCATTCAGTGTCCTAGAATTGCCGACTTTGGGTGTACAGCAACAGCTTATGAGGAGGAATTTTTCACTCCTTTGCACCATATTTTACGTGAATTTCTCACTCCCGCCTGACATTGTCTAGTCGCACATGCCAAACTCCTATTTCCCTTTCTGAGGTTTTTAGATGCCATCCAAAACCGAGCTCACTTGAAACCACCAAGCATAAACGAGGCTCCACAGAACCTGGCTATGGCTATGGCCATGGCTATGTCCTGCCTCGCCTACATCTGAATCCTGTCTATGTATGCACAGAGCAAGGGCGCCAGGTACCTCCAAGTCCAAGAACCCCAGCGACCCCAGCTGGTTGCACGCATTAAGTTTGGTTTGTTTACACAATGCATTACAATCGACAGCTGCGTGCCGAATGCAAGGTTTTCACGCATCCCCTATTGTTTCGTCTCACCACCACACCACGAAAGCAGAGCCTGGTGCAAACACCAGCAAGGCCTGGTAGATAATTTTACTCCACGTATTTTTTTTTCCCTGAGGAAACTTGACCACTAAATCGCGTCACTCCTAAAATGCAGGAGTGAAGGATTCAAGAAATGCCTTCCAAATCAAATTTACAAGATGAATATCGCCATATGAGCGCTTACTCTAACAGATTCGAAGTCAAATAAGCTTATTGCAAAATTTTGCCAGAAAAGTATCAGTCTTTATATTTATTTAACTACCTTTATTTTTCTTGCTACATACGAGTGTGATACCATTCTATTCTTCCTTTCCTTTGGATTGTCTTTAGAGATACTATCTGTTGCTTAAAATGTTGACCAATTTCTCTACAAGATTCTCCAACTGCAAACTTGTACGTATTTCATACATAAATTGGATTAATTCTTCAGCCGTCCAAACGTATTTGATATGCACCCAAGAGTGAACCATTCGCAGGGAATGAAGGAGACAATTTGAACCACGGAACTTGTTTTTACCGCCATTTTTGCCCTGTTAAACTCTCGCTTACCCGTTATCTTGGTTCATGGCGTTACTCAATAACGATAAATCTAAGCCTTTCGAGTGTCTGACTCACCAGGCTTCCTGACAAGGCCATCCTAATGCTGCCATATAGAGCTTTGGGAGAGACCTGACGCAGCTAATACAGATGTGTTTGATGGCGAAATTCTGTCCTGTGGAGATGTTTATCATGCACACCTCTTACTTGTTTCGCATTTCAATCTCGTAGGTTGGTGGGCATGATTGATATTTATATTTGGGGGGGGGGGGGGGGGGGTTAGTGGGATGACTGTCTGCCAGCAGACCATGTAAAAGGTTCTGACTTTTTGTCTTGGGGAGAACAGGGGGAAGCCAGTAAGCCTCATGTGAACCAAGTAATTGCTTACCTCACCTGCTTTCAACACATGATTGGTAACCAGAGTTAGCCATTTTCTGTTTCAATCAATTAAGTTTTGTCATAAGACAAATTATGATGCCACGAGGCATGCAATGGGCTTGTTTTGTTTCATATTCTTTATTATTTGCCCCAAATTTCTTGAAGTGTTCCCTCATGGTGGCCCTAACCAGATGTTTTCTGTAGTTATCATGGTTTGCTGGCTGGCAAATGACTGTACTGTATATATACACTATGTTTTTTTACACAGGGATACTCTAAGCTGCATAACAATTATAAAATGAGTTAAATATTGGTATGTAACAAATAATCAGACCATCCCATTTACAATGTGAAGCCAACATGTCAAACTTTGTCATTAAATATGAATAAACAAGCCAAAATAGATGTCTTTGCTGCAGCTAAAAGGCAAGCAGCAATACAGGCATGGTCATCTAAAAGTTATGTTATTTTTGGAGAAGGGAGATTGTTTTGTGGAGCATACCTATTATTGCCTTTGACGTAGGTTAACCATGACAATCAAAAAAAGTTGTTCAAAGTGATTTAAAGTGTTTTGATTTGTGTGTTGTCAACTTTGTCTTATGTCAACAAGCATACACAAATGAACTGAATAGAAATGCAAGTTGAAACCAGCCAAAAACTAGCTTTAGATATCATGTTTTTATCACAAGTGCTGCTATCAACAGATAGGTGAGTTGAGATGATGTTCATCATATGGGCTACTCTAAGTTAGGTTAAGTTCGTTAAGTGCATGGCAAGTGGCGATAGGAATTGTGCAAGAATCTGTAACTCACAACTGCTGCCGTTATACAAACAGGGTAGACAGGATGAGATGAAGTAAAGCATCTTTACGTTACGCATTTAGGCGAATTTCATGGAATAAGGATTGGTATTTCGTAAGAAACAGTGACAAAATGTTTGTTTTCCCTGACCACATCTTAACAAAGCCAGAGGTATGTCTATTGTGTTTGACTTGGTGATTGGCTGATGTGTAGGAGTCCAAGGTTTTTTGTTTGAGTGTTTTATGCTTGTTGAATTTTCTGCTTTTTTTGTTATTGATTCCTTTGTTTTGTTTCGTATTAAAGAGCTGTGAAAGGGAAGTGCAAAGTACAGCATCAAATTATTGATGTTAATAATTGTTTATGCTCATTGCACTGTCATGAAACTTCTAGGCTTTAATGTATTCTGTTTCACTTTAATGGCTTAAGATGTTAAAAACCAAAAAGTTTTGTCAGGCTTACGATATTACGTCCACGCAAAATTGAAACAGATGTCTTTGTTTGCTGAACATCAGTCACGAGCCCATAAGTTCCATCTTTTGTGAATTGATTTTTTCACTCCTGCGCGGTCTTTTCGCGATAGAATTTTTCACTCCCACCCTAGTTTAAAAGCAATTCTAGCTCCCTGGAATAATAACATGGCAGTTATCTTAACTATTTGTTTACGAGCAAGTAACTATCTAAACAAATCGCTGTATCATGTTAATTTTGTATCTAATATTATGTTGTGGGTGCCTAATGTTTTCGTCATTCTAACTCCTCCGTATCTTAAGCAAGTCCGCAGATGTTTGACAAGTTTGCCAAATGATAACACCTGGATTGGAACAAAGAAATTTGATTGCAATATGCTGCAGTTTTTAAGAGTATAGGGTGGCCCGGATACAGTTTAAAGCCTGTTTTCCCTACAGCGGCAAGCGATTCGTCGCATAATCGTGACTGTGGTGGTTATGCAATACGATCAGCAACAGCTGTCGTCAGCAGTGATCCCCTACTAAGATTTACGAAGACGTTTTTGTGTGCATTGCATCGCATTCTAAGCTTTTCACAAAAAAGGCAGCTCACCTTAATAACATGTGAAGTCATTTCTGCGCAGGAGATCAAACTGCGATCTGCTAGATGTTGAATTTTTTTAATTTTCACGTCGAGGTGGCAAATTTATGTGCCCGACATCCGGGGGGAAATAACGTTTTCGGGGTAGTTTAGTTAAACT